CATCTGAAATGAACAGAAATTTCTCAAAGAAATAGAAATAGCAAATAAATATATGAAAAAATGTTCAACATCATTGGTCATTTGAGAGATGCCAATGAAAACAATGCTGAGATTCCACCTCACCCCAGAAAGAATGGCTGCTATCAAGAAATCAACCAAGAGCAAATGCTGCTAGGGCTGTGGGGAGAAATAACTTTCTCCACTGTTGGTGGGAGTGCAGACTGGTATAACCCCTGTGGAAATCAGTATGGAGATACCTCAAAAAACTAGGATTAAAGGTCCCACTTGACCCAGCCATTCCCCTGCTGGGTATCTTCCCAAAAGAATTAAAGGAATCATACTAAAATGATATATGTATACCCATGTTTATAGCAGCACAGTTTGTAATAGCTAAAACTTGGAAACAGCCCAATTGCCCATCAACTTGAGACTGGGTAAAGAAGATGTGATTTCTTTAATAAAATGGAGTAGTACTCAGCCATAAAGAATGAGAAACTAGAGACATTTATAGCTAAATGGAAGCACAATGAGACCATACTCTTAAGTGAAATAAATAGGTCATGAGTGTGTGAATACTGAAGAGTTTCTCTGGTATGAGAAACTGAAAGTGTAAATAAGAATCAAAATGTATAAGAGATAATGTGAAATAGGAAGAAAAGGCCCAAAGGGGAAGAGGAAGAGGAGGGTTAGGGGAAAGGAAAGGAATAAATATAAGAAAAGGAAAACATGGAAACAAAGTCTTTGTAAATAGGGAGAGGTGAAGGGATTGAAGGGAGGGCAGGGGGATGGAGGAAAACGTTAGAGCCAAGATAGATTCCCAAGGATGAATAACATTATACTGTATACCTAAAACGTACCAATAAACTTATGAATAAAAATGAGAAGAGCAACCAGGAAAATAATGTGGTTAAGCTGGCAGGAGGAACAATAGCAGCAAGTAGGTAGACAACCACCAGTCCTGTGAAGCAGCCTTGGTATCTTGTCAAGGTGAATAAACTGAAATGAAGAAAAGATGAGGGACTTCTCAAACTTTTAGAGCAAGTAGAGTTGAACTCTAATTGTTAATTGGTCTTCCAAGCACAACCTGTGGTCGACCCCTTAGAAATAATAAGCAATTGTTCTGCAAACAAGCCGTTGTCCAATTATGTGATGTGAATCTCCCAACCAGCATATTTTAATGTTCTCATACAAAGGCATGAGTACTGACAAATGATTCATATCTTTAAAATAACATTTTAATTAACAGCTAATTTCCCCCAAAACATGAATTGTTTTCCATTTGAATGTAGAACATGACTGAAATTCAAATGCGAAATTCTTGCTGTTTCTTCATCTAAAATTAAACAGGTATTAAGCAGATAAAAGCATAAATGAAAAATAGTATTCCCTTGTTAAGTTGAGTTTCTTTGACTAACAAATGTTTGATGTTCCTGACTAGATAATGACTGAATAATAATTATTCACTTAAATGCAAAATAGGTTTAATTCCAATAATTCAGTTTGAATTTCACTAATAAATCCTCCTGAAAAAGAAAAGCATTGCTCGGTGAGTACACTTAAAGGTCTTCTTTCAATTTAATGCAATTTTTATCAAAACCTATTTCCTTTCAAGTGAATTTGGCTGATCTTTAAAACCCAAGGACAGAGGGGACAGTAGTCTCCTCACCCATAGGGCCCCACTGGACTCCTAAGTTGACAAGTTTAGGACAGAACGATCCCCTCTTGCTTCCTAAAACATTTCATCACAGCTATAAAGAGAGATTATCTTTTTATTACATTAAAAATAACCCCCTGCATATTCCTTATAAAAACACAAATGGAAGATATTTAAATTCATCTTTGATTAGACATTTTTCTAGGATGACAAGTCATTAACTTGAGGTGAAAAAATGTTCAGCCTGACACTTCTTGCAGTCACGGATTGATTTTGTTCTGTGCTAAGCAAATCAGGTCTGCATTTGACAGTGAGGCGGTCATTAAGGAAGCTGCAGGTCAGGACAGTTTTCTGATTATCACTTTTTTCAAGCTTGAAAAATGTGCCATTGCAGAATCCATAGCCTCAGTTAGTACCCCAGCATTGCAGGGGGAAATCAGTGTGGTCATCCCGGATGGTTAAGGAAAACCTGGCCCATTTAAACTGGAGTGGAGACTCTTGCAGTGGGGCAGGACTCAGGTCTGTGTCCCAGCTGGACTTGCTATGCCAGGAGGTCTTGGCTGCATGGTACCCATGGAGGCGATGCTGCACAGTTCCCCACTCCCTCTGCCTCCCGCTAACCACATCAGGTGTGAATGCATTCTGAGCTCTCATCACCACGGGACTTCCTCTCTGCTTCAATATAGAGATAACATCTCTCTCCAAAGGTACAGGAAAAAGAGCAAGTCCAACAGCAATATGGACTCACTCCCTCCCCCTTTTACACTGCTTCCTTAGTCTTCTACTGTGGTAGAGTCTGTTTTATCCGTTGTCCTGCTATGCAAGGGACCCTGTCTCCAAATTTACACACCTGAGTAAATGAAGTTGCTTCAAAATACAGAATGAAAACTGTGCAATCAAAATTACACATCCAACTAAATATCTATAAAATAACATTTTATTCTGTCAATTGCAATTCAAATTACTCTTTTTATTGCATATATAAATTCTATTCTGTGTGTGATGTGGGCACATTTTAATATGCTTGACATAAAGAGGAGCGGGGCCTACAAACAAGGGATTGGTCCTGCAAAGATCTAAACTGGCCCCACTCAAATCCTGTTAGCACTTCCAGAGTGACTTTTCTGTGAAATCCTCCTCTTCAGGACAGGTTCTGTCTCTCCCTAAGCCTGTCCCTCTTTATGTTTTTCTATCTTGCCTCTTCTAAGTCTCTCATTCTTCTGTAAGCAAGCAGTTTCTAGTCTCTGAAACTTCGTAGAATTCCACACATGAGTTTTGTTTGCAAATGAAACTCTACCCATAAATAAGACCACGTCAGTCTGCCCTTCACCCTCAAAAATTCCGAATTCTTATGGCAACAGAAATAAATAAGGATGAGAGATACCTTGAAATTATCTAGGATAATCTCAGGACTCTGAAAAATTATGTGCATGTACTAATTCCCCACAGTGAATGTAATCATTATGTAATATAAACATGTACTAACAACAACAACAAAAAAAACAGAATAAGGGCACTCTTTATTTAAAAAATGTAGTATGGCAACTTGGCCTTCCCCATCACCCATCTCTAACCCAGCCCTGCCCCACCTTTTTGAGACAAGGTCTCATTATGTAGCTCAGGCTGGCCTTGAACTCACAGTGATTCTCCTGCCTCAGCCTCCTGAGTGCTGGGATTGTAGGCATGCACCACCATGCCTGGCAAGGTTCCCCTTTTCTATTGGCCCTCAATATAGAGATAGCTTCTTCCTCCTAAAGTGCATGAATAAGGCAATATAACTCTTTGTGAAAGTTTAAGCCATTGGCTCTGGGCAGCATAGAAAGAGGTACCGGTGTGATTCTTGCTCACAAAGGCACTGCAGCAAGTCCAAGGGCAAGAGCGAAGGGAGAAGTGAAGGGAAGCATTTGTTTTGTTTAGTTCCAGAACTGAAAAGAAACTGTACTGAGATAGAAAATAGGTTTTTCTTCAAGTCTATGCCTAGAATTTGCTACTATCTCTGCAATTCACTGGTAAAGAGACCAGAGTTTAAGACTTAGCAACTTAGAGGTAGTACCTAGATTCTACACGTGTTCGGAAGTGAGCTTGGAAATGTTAAAAGTACCAGAGACCCTGAGGAAAATATTTTTACAACCCTCTTCAGGCCTTGAAGGAAAAGGAAATTGCAAGTATAAAGAAAAAATTGTAAATAAGAACTAATAAGAAAAGGCAGCATTTATTGAGCATTTACTGGGTGCCAGGCACAGTGTTAATTACCTTTCCTCACAGATGAAGTAGAGAGTTTGTTTATCCCTCTTTAATAGATGCGGACCCCCCACACTTAGAGTTGCTTAAGGTCATGGGGTAGAGTAGATTTGAACTATGGCTGTCTGATGTCAAAACCTACACGGTCAACCTTAGAAAGTTGGAGAGAAGAAATTGCACCCCGCATACACCCCTTGCTCCTACCTAACACAACTAAACTGGGTTTGTCCTCTGATTCATATGGCCGCAGTACCGCTGCTCTCAACCCTCAAAACACCTTCAGCCCAAACACCACAGCCGAGCTATCCAGGTTTGGTGGCACACAGCGTCCCCAGACCCCAAGGACAAACTGCCTTGCCTTGTCCACCTCTAGACCTCCTCTCTTCATGAACCTAGGGTCCCCCGTGCCAGTCTCTTGAAGCTCTTTGTGATACACAATCTTATGTAGGTAGCAAAAGCCATCTGGTTCTTTCAAGCCTGACTCGGAAGCCTGACTATCCAAGGGATCTGTCTCTGCCTTCAGAGCAGCCTGCTGCTCTCCCTTCTAAGTTTCAACTTCATTTTAGCACCATCTCATTCTTTTGATTCCTCTCACTAGCAGCAGTGGATTTCTTAAAGGAAGGTACTGTGTCACTCATGCTTGTATATTTCTACCAATTTTAATTCTCCCATTTTTTTTTTACTTTTTTGCTTTACATCTCATTTTTGGTTCATCTATCAATATTCTTTCTGCTTATTCAGTACATAACTGAGTACCTTATATGGCCTGAAGCCTGTTCTCAGTACTGGAAAAACAGGAAACAAAACAGCCCAAGCCCGAGCCTTATTTTCTATCCATGAATTAGAGTATTTCCAAAAAAGGTAAGATATTTTAGAATACACATTATGAGACTGGTCTTGCATATTAAAAGCAAAATGAAAATATATGAATTTTAAAGTGCTACTAGTTTGAAATATCAAATGAATTAAAATTATCCCAATGGCTTCTAGGATTGAACTTGACTCTTCTGATTTGAAGTGTAATGAAAATGTTTAGAGATATTAAAATGGTATAATAGCAACATGTACACACTAAACCTTTTTATTTCCTTCTCTTTTTTTTTAGGGAACCAATCCACTGTACAGAGGCTCTACTAGTACTTTTAAAAATGTAACCTATAAACACAGGGAAAAACAAAAGACAGACCTTTCCACAGATGGGTAAACTACTTCATGCATGGGAAAAACATCGTTTCACCGATATAAAAGGTTAATGCACTATTTTTCTTTCTTGCTTGCTTCAAAAGGAGGCTGGTTGAAGATAATCATAGGTCGTTTGGAGATCAGTCATTCTTTGTGTGACCATGAGACACTGTTGACAGCTTCAAAATAATCAAGGAGAGGCATTTCCTTAGCAAAAAGTGACTTTGGAGATTATTTGAGGAATAGTAATTCTGTTGCATTAATGTCTCAAAAAATTCCTCACAATGATTTATGGGGGCCTCATTTGCATTTGAAAAATGTTTGAAATTAGAATCTCATTTGTTTCAGGAATACAGCTACCTAAAGTTTTTGTCTTGGCAAAGTCATAAACTCCTTATGCTCACACTGCCAGTTATTCTAAACTTGTGGCAAATCTGCCCTTTCCTAAAGAAGCACTTTTAAAAACTCTTAAGAAACAAGATTCTGATTTTGCTTTAGACGAAAAGAAGCAATTCTTCCAAAGATAGTTCAAATGTATGGTGGAAAATTGAGTTTTAGTAATTTCTGTGAATTTGTATCCACTTAAAAGTTTGGCATATAAGTATTCTATTTGTTTTACAGATGAAGAGGTAACTTATAAATTAAGCTTTTAGTAAAAACAAAATGATAACCCTATCATTTAAATTATTTTTAAGCTACCTGAAAAATAATCTTCTATACTCAGTTTCCTTCTTGTCCCTAAGTCTTCAAACTATTACCTCTCTATGGTTTTCTAAATCATGTAATTTTCATATGATAGTTTTCATTTATTTTTTAAAAATTTACGGGCTGGGGATTTAGCTCAGTGGTTCACCTGCCTCGCAAGCCTAAGGTCCTGAGTTCAATCGCCAGTAGAAAAAAAAAAATTACTTTAAATAGCTACCTTATTCAAAAACAGTTTCAATAATATAAAAGGTACATGAAGTAAACACAATAAAATCTTAAATGACTTTAAATCAAACACATTACAAGTGCATAAATCCCTCGTGGATTATAGGCTTTTAAATCTGTGTTCTCTTCCCATCTGCATAATAGTAGACCCACATTTTAGTTGCATATGATAGCTAGGCATTGTACATTCAAAAGTAAGATTTTGCTTGTAAAGTACATGTAGACAATTAGGGATCCATCAGTTAATTGAAGAGTTGGACACTGTAGGATATTATTTCTATGGTTACTGCTATATTACAAAGCACTTTCATCTTTTTGGATCCTCATAAGGAAACAAAGGCGTGAGCACTGGGTTCAGAATCTATATCATCTAATTCCAAGCCACTTTCTCTTTTGCTTGAGACAGCTTCTTTTGTCAGTAAAATGATAGAAAGATGTAATAGCTAAGCAACAACTACCATGTGTTTGAAAATATCCTGAGACTAAACAAATACCATTTAAACCACTGGAATACAAATGGGTGATTGTACTGTTGTGCATTGTTTATTACTTTGATTAAATTGCAATGTGAAGCCTTTTACTATGTGAACAGTGCCCTATGTGGTGGACACTTCATAGTAGTTATGCATTAAATTGCATAATTTCTAACTTTCTTCACCCTATCAGATAGAACTGTATATATTTGGCCATTTTTTTTCCTGGTTCCTAACTCAGGTATATCAGACATTTAAGGACCACAAAGCCTTATGAAAAGGATAGCTAAGCAACCTCTGTGGACATCTGAAGGGTTGGTATATGCCCAGGTTCCTGCTGACATCCAGAACTAGGGGAAAGTCTAGAGCCACACATAGGTACACTACCAATGCCACAGCAGTGACAGCCCCCTCTGCATGGACTGCTGGTGCTATTCTTGTATTATTACTGAATTGGGATTTTAGAAAATAGAAGTTTCCTTTGTGTGTATCATGGAAGAATCTGCTCTTTCTCTAGCTACTGTTTTGACTCAAGGCAGGACCTTGAAAAGGCCAAAACATGAATAGTAGTACTTCTGTTCACTGAAGAGTTGTTACGTGAAGATGAAATGGTTTTTATGTAAGTTCTTTTATTGTATTTGTGTTGATAAAAATAAACATGGTAATTTAAACACAGAAGCACAAATGGATGATAATTCCTTCCACTTACTTGAAACAAAAACCGTCTAGGCTTTCCGAATTCTTCCATAACCTGCTGTGACTGTTTTACTGATCTCAGTTTGGGACCAAGAAAAGAAAGAGTAGGCACTGGGGATTTAACTCAGTGGTTCTGCCACCTGCCTCAAGTGCAAGGGCAGGAGGCAGCAAGCCATGGGTATAATTTTTTTTCATGGTGACAGTACGTACATCACGATATATTATTATAGGAGATTAAGACCTCCAAATGATAAAAGGGAAAAAAATTGTTTTTGATACCAGGGATTGAACTCAGGACCTTGCACTTGTGAGGCAGACAGTGGAAATCCCCAGCCCCAATAAAAAGGAAATATTATAACTCCCAACCTTTTAGATGTTTAATAAACTGAGTTTGTGTTCTCTAAAATTGAACAATGAATTCTAGGAACAATGGAGGTTAGGAATAGGAAGACTTTATTGAGAGAAAGATAGCTTCTGTCTAAGAGAGATAGAAGGGGATCCAAGTGGGTGGCCAGAGACCCCACTTTACAGGGAAGTTTTAGGGGCACAACTTCCCTGTACAATGTGGGTTACAGCTATGATTAACCAATAAGGTTACAAGTATACTCACTTAGGTAATAGAGATCCAATGGAAAAGGAAAGCAAGTGATTCAACCGGGAAGGGAAATATGTTACATAGCAAGAGTACATGAAAAAACAAAAAGGTTCTCAGGTAAGTGATGGATCTGGAGGTTTTGGTCCACCCACTTAGGTGACTGATGCCCATCTAGACTTTACAAGACCAGGTGTTATCACTGATCTCATCCTTTGAAGAAGCACACAGGCCTGGTCCTTTTGTCATCTGGAGGCTTGACCCCCAAGCTAATGTGTCTCTGGATACAGTTGCAGCATGTTTTCACTTTTTGTCTTGACTGCCTATTATATTTCTATCTAACTTTGCTGTCTACAATAATGAGAACTTTTAAACCTGGCCCAGATGTTACCTCACATTTTGTAAAACAAATTCTTTAGGATTAGTATCATGGGCTGAAACGTGTTCCTCTTCCATGCAATTCTTTGAAAAAATACATATACTGAACGTTTAACCTCAAATACTTATCTGAGAACTTGACTATCTGATTGGAGATAGGGTATTTAAAGAGATAATTAAATAAAAAAATAAAATCATAGGGTTGTGCCCTAATTCCGTATGCACTAATGTTCTTATAATAAGAGGAAGAAATAAATAGGACACGTGTAAATAATGAAGTTTCTCTAGTGTGAGAAGTGAGTGTGTAAATAAAGACTAAAAGGTATAATAGATAATGTAAAATAGGAAGAAAAGGGGCAAAGGGGAAGGGGAAATGGTAGGGATAGAGAAACAAAAGAAGGGAACAGAATTAATATGAGGAAATGAAAAATGGAAACAAAGTCTTTGTAGATAGGGAGGGGTGGAGGGGTTGAAGGGAGGGCAGAATGGGAAAGTAAAAATGGAAACAAAGTCTTTGTAGATAGGGAGGGGTGGAGGGGTTGAAGGGAGGGCAGGGAATGGGAAAGGAATAAGGACCAAAACCGATTATGTAAAGGTGCAAATTTCCAATGATAAATGTCATTACATTGCATACCTAAAATGTACCAATAAAATTAATTTAAAAAAAAAGAAGAGGAAGAAAGGCCACAGATCTGTGAAAATGGAGAAAATGGCTATCTACCAACCAAGGAGAAAGGCTTTAGAAGTAACTAACCCCTTTCACATCTTGATTTTGGCCTTTTAGCCCCCAGAATTGTGAGAAAATAAATAAATTTCTATTGTTTAAACTACTTAGTCTATGGTACTTTGTTAAAGCAGCCCTAGGAAGCTAATATAGCCGGGTAGTGTTATTTTGGGGGGACATTCATTTGGTAGAGCCTATGCCCATTTTCTGTGTCAGAAAATTAAACATAGAGATCAAATGTAAAATAGGGAGCCAGCTTACTCTTTTTTGTTGTTGTTGTTGTTCTTTACATTTCTTTCTTTACTTTGTTCCTCATTGAGTTTATTGGTACATTTTAGGTATACAGCACAGTTACATTCATCATTGGGATCTTGTACCTTCACATGACAGATCTTGGTTCTTATTTTTTCCCCTTGTCCCTGCCCTCCCTTCACCCCCTCCTCCCCTCCCCACTTACAAACATTTTATTTCCATTTTTTCATTTTCTCATATGTTTTTCTTTCCCTTATTACCTTTCCCCTATCCTTCCCACTTTCCCTACACCTTTAGCCCTTTTCTTCCTATTTCACATTGCCAATTATCTCATTAGGATCTTACGTACTATTATAGTTTTTCACACCAGAGAAACTATTCAGTACTTACACATGTGTGACTTATTTATTTCACTTAGGAGTACATCCTCAATATGTATCCATTTCCCTATGAATGAATCTAATTTCTCATTCTTTGTAGCTGAGTAGTATTCCATTTTATAGAAAAACCACATCTTCTTTATCCAGTTTCCAACTGATGGGCAAATGGGCTGTTTCCAAGTCTTTACATTTTTTTTGAAAGGCCTATTCCTTATGAAAGGACAGCACAGTCAAGAGTACTTATACTCTGAAACATACTGTTTCTTGTACATTAAAGTCCAGAAATCTGGAAATCTAGAACCTGTTTATCTTTTGAATAGCACCATGAAAATTATTTTTTCCTTAATTTTTCTAACTGTAAGAATGTGGTAGTCTCTTCTAGGATCTATAACAGTCCCTTGATAGTTCAACAAATATTTATTGAGTGCCTAGAAAATTCTAAACATTGTTTTTATGAGTATTTATATAGAGACTAGTGGACAGAATAAGCAAGTTATATACTTCCAAATAGGGAAGATGATAAGTACACTATTTTTGAGTACTGACCCAACTTCTGCATATCCCAGGTCCACTCGGCTCCACCTGCCTCCCAGACCTAAGCCTGGAACCATCACAGCATCAACACACATAGTCTTCTAGGTTGTAAAGCCACAGTGTCTTCCTAACCCTGAGTAGGAGATGGGACTGAACAGTCCCCATGCCCAAGTCCAGAGTGGTTTTGTTGCTGTCCCAGCAGAGCAGGTAGTACAACACTAAAGTACAGGGGAGTTGGCATCTGAAGGAAGAGAGATGGTTCCCTGAGAAAGAGATGAGAAGGAACTAGCAGTTGAACTGGAGATGGGCCATCAGCAATGTTTTCTGAGGCAACGGTGGCCAGCTTCCCAAAGCATCACTGTGTATTTGTTTTCCCTCATTCTCTGCCTCCTTGCCCTTTTTCCCTGAAGTGACATCTGCCAGCAAGGCATTACCACATAGCTTTGCTTCAGTCCTTGATTTATAGGAAGTCTAAACTAAGACTTCCCAGATACAAAGTAGGACAAAAATTACACAGTGCCCTATGGAGATATAAGCTTAGAGTTGGAACTTGTGAACAGAGACTAAAGGAAGTGAGTGAGCAAGTGCAAAGACTTAAG